AAGCAACCAAGATGTCCCCGTTCAATGAATGTTGTATGATTCATGCCTCTGTATGACAGGAAACATACAGGAGAAATGTTCATTGGGTAACCATATGAGTGTGTCACGCACATGTGGCTCAAAGCTTTCATACATTATATGGATATACTTTGTCATGCATGTAACAGACAGTGAAGGATATGCATTCTTAAATTACTCCAAGATATAGCAAGTGTATTAATTATTGAGCCAGGAAATAGGTTACAGAGCAGATAGCGTACAACACATTTTGAACTTATCCTTCCACCCTCACCCTCAAAAAGAATATGGCAAACTGATATTTAAAGCATTTCTTTAAAAAAAAGTCTCCAACAGATGTGTATGCCTGGTTATAAGGAGGAATATAAGCTATAGTTAGTAAAGCTAATGCTGTTATTGTCCCAGTAGCACCCTGGCTTTGGCAAGCAGCTAGCTCTGCAGACATCCTCCAAATCTGTCTCACACCACTGGCTTCAGTCTGTCCGATTGTTATTTAAGTAAGTCCGAGGGTGCCAAGTCCGCTGGCATCTCAGCCTCACTGAGGACCTTCAAATCCCAAGCCTCACTTTGCCCTTCTTCCACTGGCACCAATGTGGAGTAGATGTTCAATGTAGGGTGCAGGCCAAGTCAACAGACATGTCGACTTCTATCATAGCTGCCCTCCCCCCATTTTCAACCAAAATTCAACATCATATACAGACCACTCGTAACATATTTTACTCAGCAGAGAGTGTTCCTGACTTATCACTCTGACTGGATTCAGATTCTTGCACATAAATATTCTGCACTCTAATAAACATTAACATCCATTGTTTAAAGGAAGCTAGTATCTAAATGTTCAATAGTAGCCTATCTAAAAGGCCATAACAGAGACACAACCCACAAAATACACACAGAAACACACACACACACAGCCACTCTCACAATACATTGTAATCAACAATGCAGAAGTCATTGGCTCCACTATATTGATACTATTTTGTCAGATATTCGGCCTGGGAAGCATTCCACTTCATGCATTAACGTTTTAGACCCAAGCTAATGGGAAGTGGTCAGTTACACTATATTGTTGTAGTTGCTTCCTGGTAAAGCTGTCCCGTTAGCAATTAGAGACATCATGGTTTTTAAAAGCTGATCTCTTGTTCTCTTTTCCCCAACTCTTTCCCCACTCCGAGCTCACTGGTTTCACACTAATGGAGCAGACACTTGGATGATTTCTTTGAAGTGGAGGAGGAGCGGGCTTAAAGTATACATGTGCCTACAAATTGTGACACTTATGCAAACTGAGAGATACAATTAGATACTTTACAACTTTAGGCGCAGTGGTGTTGCACAACGCCCTATTTGGTGCGGTTTACACTTTGAGAGCCAAGGAGAGCTCTTAGCGAGGCACTAATGTTCAGCACCATGGACAGCGTCTGTGCCAACTCACCCCGATATCAAGGAGAGACTGTGGTGTGCCGCTCTCGCCATTTCGCAGCCTTTAGTTCGGGTCTTCAGCATTTCGGCCCGTAAAGAGGGACAGTCGACAGTGATTTCGCCAATGGAGATGACCAGTTCACGGTACAGAGCCACAAGTGTATTGAATTCTTGGACGATCTGTTACAATGAAATGGAATAAAACAAAAATAAGTTATTCCCCGAATGACCCAGTCAAGCAAGCACCACACAAACATAAAACATAACAAACGTCCTGTCCTGGTCATTGCAGTGGAATACCTTTAATCCTTGGGCCTGCATATTGACTTGTCAACATGAAAACGTGTCAGGCAAGAAGGAAACGCTGAGCAGCACTGTATCCAGCCCTGCTATTATTTTTTACCCCCCGCACTGGGGCAAATAATCTGCCAGTGCAGGTACATGGTGGGAGGCTTCAAAAGAAGTAGTACCCTAAAAATTGCTACCTTGCACGTATACGATCACAAAAGCCCATTGATCTCTGAGAGAAACGTGTGATTAAGCAAAAAAAAAAAAAAAAAGTGAATCTTAGCCATTAAAATAATCCGCAAAGTCAGAGCACATGATGAATGGATTGATTTTTTTTTATTGACGGAGGTCCCATTATGCTAAGTTTGGTTGTTTGCACAACCTCAGAGCTGGAGATTGGGGCACAAAGATTTCGTTCATTTTGTGCAACTCCTGCACAGCATCCTGCTTGTACTCCTGTATATGAACAGTGAGGCTCCATGACGTTCACTGATGTATGAAAGGGTGAAGCAGGCTGTACATATGATCATTCCTGCCAGCAACTGTCAAAACACAGGACCCTGCGTGCCATGATCACGAACACCTCCGTAGATAATCTTGTAATTCGGGCAATTTAGTAATCAGCACAAAATCACCAGCAGCTTTCCACTCTCCAAATGCAAATCACACAGTCAATCTGCACGCCGAGATGATCTGCTTGGCTTCACTGCCGACAAAGCAATGCAAATGCATATCGCTATTTTTAGGTTCCCAGACCGGGATACAGTGTTTTTTTTTGCAGCTATTAACAGCTGTCGCCTGTGCATCCTGCATGCACGGGATAGTCGATCGACCTAGAACAAAGAGAGGTTAGGATAATAACATAGCACTCCTTATTAGAGGCACCATGCAGGCATTGGCGTGTCGCAAACCTACCATTCTGCAGTCGGCCACGGCGCGCTGGGCTTTGCGGGTACTTTCGGTGCTCTCCCTCCTCTGTGGTTCTCGGTGAGGAGGTTTGCCGATCTGGAAGATGTTCCCGGCGGATCTGGGGCGGTTTTTGCGCCCATTCGATGCAGAACTCATGCATACACATCCACTAATAAAACAGCCCTAATACAGAACGGTTTTGTCTTATTTCCCCCCTCCCAAACTACCACCACTTTCTCTCTTTCCTACCTCACCACCCTGCACCTTACTGCTCACCTTATTCTCTCCTCCGTTCACGCTCAATTCACCTTCGCCAACTACTGGCTGCGGTTGAACCTCGATTATTGTTATTGCTCTGTCTATGTCTTTCTCACGTTCCTCCCCTCTAGTGTGGGAGACGGAGCAAATATTTTCCCAGACGAGCCTCAGAGCGCAGGAAAAGTACCGGATGAGCGCCTGCGACTCCTCTCCGCATTGCCTTGACTGCGACGGGGCGCAAGTCACCTTCACTCCAGCAGCACACGGTGCACAGTGAAGACTTCTCACACCCAAAACCCGGAGCCCAGCTAGCTGAGGTGTCTTCTCTGACGCACCGATGTCGGAAGGAGACAATCGCATTCACGGATATTCTCCAAATGCAACCATTTTTTATGATTGCGCGTTTCCATTAAGCACCAATAAGACGGGCGATAACGATCTTTCCTTAGCCGAACAACAACCTCCTTATAGAGAAACAACGCTGCCAATGTCCCCGCTGACTATTTCGCAGCGTACAGCCAACACTTTAAGCCTCTGTGCCGGAGAAAATCTGAACGTTCAAGAAAAACTTAATTCCTGGTATCGCGGTGTCAGATCGGCTCCCGGTGCCTGTGCGCCTTCTAGTGCTTCCAGCTCGTCGGGCGGGCCTATGTCTAACCTTGGAGAGGCAGTACAAGACGGGCAGTTGCTACAGGCCTGACGTGGCTCTGTGGCTGGCAACACTGCGCACCCAAAGGACGGGAATACTAATAGGGCCCATCAAGTCAGACCCCCGCCCTGAGCAGTAGGCTATATAAGCACTGGCCACTTTTGCCTCCACATAGTAAAGTACAATACAAGTCGTTCAACATTCCACTAAAGACTTTAAACTTTATAGAGTTTACACTGACACTGCATACGGTTTACTCCTAATATTTACATGTATAATCTCTATCCCTATCTCTACTATATTGTATTCTTGTATACACACAGTATGGTGTCTGTTACTACTTCTTAAGAATTCACAGTGATGTAAAGATCTTTTTAAGGTTGTTTTTAGGACTTTTATTGCTGATTTTGAGGTCTGGCAGCATTATGCTTTAAAATCTTATATTGCTTGGTAGTTGTTCTTTTTTCCTTACTAAGGGTAATCTTACTTGCCAAAAAACGCATGGTATATCCACTATGGATAAATACATAAACATAAAAAGTACTGGAAATTGGGATTTCCAATACTTTCCAATCCCAAGTACTACCAATAGTTGGTATTGCAATAGGCCTACTTGCAAACATGGTATTGCAAATTGGAAGCAAGCTTTAATGCACACACACACACACACACACACACACACACACACACACACACACACACACTGTGGCATCAAAGAAAGTATATATAAATGTGTAATTTATAAACAAAATGAGCCAGTTTGTTGTCTATGGTTGTTCTAAAAACAAAATCACCCAAGAAACTTTACTCTTTCAACATTTCCGCCACTGACTATTTGCCCTTCCCTGCTTTTCACAACCACTCAGAGGAAACTATGTGGTAGATGTTCTGAATAAATTAGGAGTCCATTTCAGTGTATGGTGAGTGCTCTTTCTAAACCTGCATTACTATTTAATTGTGAATGCAAAGGAAGAATTTCAAAAAGTGTATTAGACATACACCCACACACACCTACAGCTGCACTCACGCCAATACAAAGAGACACGCACATACAGTGCACTTACAGTGTCATTTTATGTCCATTTAAATGAAACAGATTCAGCAGTGATCATGTGTTTGATTTTGGTGTAGATCTCTTAGAAGAGACAACAACAACACACTTTGTTCCATATTTAAACACACAAAATGAATGTAAATAGAAGACAAATAATAACAATAACATATATTTTTAGTTCACTTACAACTGATTTAATAATACCTACTTAAAACTATTTATAAATAACTTACATATGATTCATGATATCATAAATTATGTATTCATATTTCACAAATGTATGTAAGTAATGTGTAAATTAGCTCCTCGTTAACAATTGACATGATTTATCAACAAAATTGTGATATATTATTTACAGCTAGATGAGAATTTTTGTTTATAATAAATTACTCATTTTCAACTGAGCCTATAAATAACTTCCAATTTATTATTTTTGTACAGTTGTGCCAAGCAGAGAACAATATTTGCATTGGGCATACGTAGAGATTCAAAACCCACCACATACTACCGAAAATGAAAGTTAAGAAATTGCATATTTGGTATAAAACTGTGTCAGGAAAAAATCTATTTATTTGGCTGTAATACATGATTTCATTACCAAAAATAGAAATCACTTAAAATTTACAAATTAAATTTCAAGCCGGATCTACATACATGTATGTATGTATGTGTTTCTGTGTACAGTGACCTAGTACAACCAAACATTTATTCCCTCCAGGGGGTGCTTAAGAACAAACAAAACACAATTCCTTCTCAGTGGAAAAAAAAACAGCAAATGAAAACATCTAGCAAGACATACTCCATAGTTTAATGCAAGTGCCAATTAAAAAGGTCTAAGTAGCAAGGATATGGTGTATGGTGGCAAATTGGAACAGAAAGGTTCATAAAACAAATGGTCTCAACCCATACCAGAGCAAATCTTTCATTTAATTAAGTTTTCTGAGGATGCATAAACATGAAAATCCACCCAAAAAGAGCTCACTCATGTTATTTCTCTGTTTTTTTATTATCATGGGAATATGCAATACCTGTGGTAGTACTGAAATGTTATGTTCTTGGAGCTGGTATATTAACTCCCCTCTATACAGGGCATTTTGTGCAACCCACATTACATTTGCATCATGTGGAGACAGAGAACAGAGACTACTGGATTCCAAAACATCCTTACAATTCCCTGTTTCAATCATTTATTCATGAAAGACAACAAGCTGGCACACTGTTGTATATATATGTGTATATATATATATATATTAAACCGTTGCTCTTTCTATGTTGCTCCATCATTGTTGACTGTCAAAAAGAAGGGAAGAAAAGGTAGCAAAGGAAGCAGAATATGAAGAAGCCAATAACCCAGTTGACTGAGTAGATGTAGATGATGACCATATCCATGTCAAAATGCCAGCCTCGAGAGTCATCCTCAAAGTCCATAGCATCCAGACGGTAGCCTCCTCCATGGGGGAACTGGCGTCTAGCAATGGGACTGGACTGCCTCTGGAAGCCTGGTTTGGGTGAGAAATTAGATATTTAATCTGGTGGTTTTCATCAAGGTGACAGAATCTATGAAACTTGGTTGTAAAATATTTCTATAGCAGTTTTATTCTTACTTGATTCTAATGGATTCTAATTGGATTCTAATGGTGACAGGTTTTTATGGTGGAAACACGCATAAAAATGTCGAGAAATATGGCTACTGCTGAGGATGCCAAGTCCACGTCCTCAGTTATATTTTTGGGAATTTAGGGGGTTCAAAGACATGAAGAGAAGTTCACATTCTATCCATGTTGTGTAAATGCTTTCCTTGAAGCTGTGCAGCTCAGGTGATATGAATCCTATTTTAATAATTGTTGCCATGAAGGTTGAGTGTTCAATAGTCAAATAAAGATTTTGGATATCATATTCCTTACATTAGTGGTACATTATCAGTATTTGTAACTAGATTAGAAAGTCTGAGAAATGGTTCATCAATGCCTTCCCCTCAGGATATTAATTCTGTGTATAGTAAGAAATTGCATGTGTGCGGGAAAGGTAGCCAATTAAATTTGTATTCTGTATGCTATAAGGTATAATATACTGTAGAAGCCTTGAAGTACTTTTAAGATAAATAGTTAGCAGGTATAAGTGTTACCCTGTCACAAGTCTTAACAAAGTCTTACAGTGGAATTAAAAACTTGCCTCCAAAGATACGGAAGAGTTTTCGGCAGCTCGGCAGAGGCCACTTAGCACAACTGGCTTTCTGGAAGTTCTGTTTCCGGGAAAGGTATTCCTTTGGGAAGAATGTCCTTGCTGTTTGATTGAGCTCTGTAAGAGAAACAAGGAGACAAACTCAATATTATCAAAAGTGAACATCTTATTCACACCTCCACTTCTTGATTGCCTGGATAGATTATGTTTGATTTATTCACTACATTCAAAATAAAGCAGCAAATGCAGAATCACCATTCCACTCATTTTCTCCTTGTTCTGTTTCTGTGTGACCTTGGCTTTGGTAATCAACACAAGAATCTAATCTACAATCCTTGTCACCTAATCACCCACAAGAGCCCTTAGCGTGTCTGCAGTCCTCATAACCATGGCCACTCTGCCTTTTTATGGCCACAGCAGTGTCCCTGCCGCTCACTTTCTCTTACATACATCTAGAAGTAGGCCAAAGTGAATCACAGAACCCCATTACTTATTCATAGCTTGTCCAAATCAGACTATGTCCTGTCTAATCAGTGTGCAGTGATCACGAGGTTACATAAAGTACACATGTCACTAAGCATATGTGCTAAACCATTATTATAACATTACATTGTATAACATTGTTGTGTAAAGATAATACATTTCAGATTGGGGTGTTATTGTCCACTGGCCTTGCTAAAAACATATTTTTTGTCATATCACAATGTATTGTCCAGCCAGAAGAAATACTGCTTCTTATTTCCATCAGAAAGCACTAAATAAAAGTGTGTTTGATTTTGTCTTCTCGGTCTGGGTGACTCATCTGGTCAGAGCTGAACTAAAGGTCTACTCTGCTCCCTATGGGACATCAGCAGCTGGGCCCTCTGAACAATCTGCAGCTTAGATGTCATCTATGCAACAGCCAACAGACATATGAATACACATATAGCTGCAAATATACATGTAATCCTGTGTCTGTACACATTTATTCTTTTATTGTACTGTCATGGATTATTCTTTGACATATTTTTTAATTTTCTTTCATTCATCTCATATTATTCAATCTTGAGCGATGAGTAGAGTCATAAGTAGAGCTGATAAGTATTTAAAATCATGTGAATTGTACAGTAAGTGCTTTGTGCCCATTAGCTCACCCTTCTGGAAGAAGACATGTGTGATGATTGTTCTGCAGAGGGGGCAGGGGGTGTTGGTCGGGCTGTTCTTAGCCAGTGTCCTCAGACAGGGTTCACAGAAGATGTGGTTGCAGGGATGACACATGTAAGGGCTGAAGTATACATCCAAACACACTGCACAGATGTATCCTTCTCTGTCCCCGGTGCTCACGTCCTCCTCATCCTCGCTGCTGCTGCTGGATGGGTTCCCTGTTGAACTCTGAAAGAGGAGGAAAGGCAGAGTGGGGGAAGACACTTTTAAACAATGAAGGATCGAATGGATTGTGGAAGGTTGATACAATATATCAGCACCCATGCGTTTCTTTTCTTGTAGACCTCCTCCTCATTCATATAAATATTTATGTGCATACAGGCAAACATGCACATGTTCCTCTGCAAGCCTTTGTATACAGTATGTAGTTAGTTAAGTTTTTTTTTTATGAGATTCAAATCAGATTGGTGCCAAAATAGACAATTCTGATACTATTTAAAATGTGAAAGAAAACACTATGATTATTTTTTTATTTTATTCAAATGCCTATTTTTCTTTTATCTCTAAAATGTGAAATCATGATGTTAAACCCATTTCTGCGGGTCATGTCTACATGGAATAAGCTTCTCAGACAGACAGATTAAAAACGGACAATCTTGCTCTGCATCAAGTAAAAGAACAAAGGTGAACAATCCAGAAATCTGACACCCCCCCACCCACCCACCCACATACATCATCACTACAAGATGTCATTGCACCAGCTGGCCATAAATATAAGTGAAAATGTATTCTTTTGCGGTCCTTTTAACATTCAGTTTAAAATACTGTTCCGTACTGTTAATACATCCTATTAGATCGGTGTAAACGTCTGTGACACCCACCTGCACAGCATAATAACGTGTGAGGACATGAGGGTGTCAGGTGTGAGTTCAGCAGAGTGAAACGTCTACCTACTTACATTTTCTCACTTATCACTGTAAAGCATAAACATTGTTTGTTAGAGAGAGCAATCTGACCCTGACACTGGCCCTAATTCAAACTCCATTCACTTTGCTATTGCTATTCTTGAGGAATCTATTGTAGGTTTTCCATAAGGCACAGTATGAGTCATGCATGCACAGATAAAGCATTTTGTTTACACTGCAGATGGCCAGTACTGTTTTCTTTTAATCTAGCTTGTATCCTTTCGTTTCATACAATATCATCCACCTCCACTGCTCAAATCTCTCTAATGCCCTCAGCAGTCCACCTGCCCTCCCTCCCAAGTGCCTCTGCACCTGAATCCATGCTCAGCCTCCCATTTCCAAATTTCTAGCTATAACCCATATGAGAGGACGTACCAAGCCCCATTTTAGAACAGTATCTGGGACCCCTCAAGTCCCCCACCTCCTCCTCAGATCAGTGTCTGCAGACCCCTGAGGATTGGTGTCTGCAGCTCCAGTCTTGAAAAAAACCCAAGGGTGCTTCCGGAGTAATTACCACTTTCTCACCCAGGGGGAGCTCCAGGGACTTCCCTGTTGCACTAGCCCTGTCTCCCAAGGTGTGTCATTAACACAGAAGAGAGAACACAGAGCATACAACTTCCAAGTAATCATGGGCACTGAGGCTTTCCCCTGGCAACATTCAATGTAACATGGCAACTTTGTCTTGTTTACATTGGTAAGCGTTTACATAAATAAATAAATAAATACACCCATTCTTTATCAGAGGGAAGTAAAAGTTTAAACAGTTAATACAAATCTTTTAATAGACATTGAATAAACGTCTTCTGGTTACTACTGTGACTTCCATGAGCTTGATTTGACTAATAAAATTACTGCACTTGAAAGAAATTGTGGTTTGTGTAAATTTGATAGAATTTAGCATTTATTTTAGAATGGCACTAAATGTTTCTACATTATCAACTGAAATCACATTTCAGCTTCTGTGCAGCAGCTATCAGAGCAGCTGGATAAAATAACTGAACTTTCCAGCACTAATTGGCTCTCCATCACACAGGATGAAACCACTTCCTGTGGGAAACTGGATGACAATAACACCCGCTCTAACCTTTGGCCTACTGTATACTGTATGCAAAATGTACCGCAATACATTGTACTCAGAATGAAATTCTACCAGAGGGGTTAAATTACCTTTTCCACAAGCCAGGAAGGTATATAGGCAGTACAGTTACAGGAAATATGCAACTGTAGGGGAAAATGAATAAAGCATCATACTTGGAAACCCACATTGTATAATATAAACCAGGCCAAAAGCGAGGGTGAATAAGAAAAACTATTGTCCAGTTGCCCTTGACAAGTGTCCTTAAGTCTGAAGTTCGATGGCTAATAGCAGAAATGCTCTGGCTGTAGTGAGCAGCCCCCAAATGAGAGTGAGTGTAACTATGCAAGTGCAAAGCTGGACAGAGCTGAGAAAAGAGCATGCATACTCAATATGCCTTGATAACGAGAACAGCCAAGCAAGCTCTTTAGGTTTCCTCTGAAATGACACCAATAAAAGTTTTAAAGAATAGTTATTACTCACGCTTATTCACTTCGCTCTTTGAGAGTCAGGTAGGGAGATCCATACTACTGTCATGCATGTGCATTAAGTATGGTGCTTAGCTTAGCATAAACACAGGAAGCAGGGGGATGCAAGTATATGGCTACCAGCACAATTCAAGCTCAAAAATGAATATTTTCTATATTGTTTGTTTAATTCATACACAAACATAAATATTAAGATGGCAAGTTCACAAGTTGATGACTTCCTGGAGTCTTGCCTTCACTCTGAGAGGTCCAGGTGCCCAATGATATTCAATGGAAAGTATCTAAAGACTGCTTGAAAAGTTCCTAGAGGACGCTAGATTACTTTACATGCTAATTTACATGTCTGTGACATCATAATGTAATTATTTAAATCAAAGATTTGAAAAAACATGGCAAGTTTACTTGACTCTAACTTTATCATTAGCGATTTTTATTTCATTCATCAATATGCATCTGAATCAAAAACTTTTATGAAGGCTGTTGTATAGACTGTTGAACTGTGTTATGAATAAAGAGGATCCAGACACTGGAGTAAAGGCATTCTTATAAACTCAAAATTTTGAGAGAAAACAAAACTTGAGCAGTCAAGTTAAAATGTTTAAAACAAAAACAAAAGCAGGAAAAACAATGGGGATCAGTGACTGTGATGTACGCACATTCCCTGCTAATGTTTTTCTGTCTGACTTCTGATTGGTCGGCTGAATGAGTTGTTGCTCTCCTCCACAGTCAGTTCAGAGAGCCACAGCCACATTAGAGCACATTCAATGACAAATATAGGTGACTCTCTTCAAGGGAGAGGAGCTAGTCGGCCCAGAAAGTTGCTAGGGCTTAAAAGTCAGTAAATCTAGCAAGAAAATCACTTAAATGGCAACACTGCACTGGTCACAAGGAAAGCGCACACAACCCCCCCATAAAACCACAACTCACATGACATACAATCACCTCTTTACTTGAGCTATGTAGTGAACATACACACATCAGACATTCAACTTTCGGCAGAAAACTGAATGAGAACTGATTAACCAAAAATATCCAACTATTTCTTTAAAGAAAAAAATAATCTATTCATTCCCACATAATAATCCACCACATTAAAAAAGGACACAATTCTATCTGCTACGGTCAGATAGAGTGTGTATTATGAATTTACATCATGCTCAAACATTAACACACCAACTCCAACACAAGGGAGAGAGGAATATCTAAACTAAAAACAATATAATCAGCAGGGGGATACGGAATTAGGAAATGGATATTCTCTGTTTCAAAGCAACTAATTCTATTCAGCTGTCTCTAATTCAGCAGTCAGAATAATTTCAATCCACCAACGTGACTGTAGATCTGCAGCAGCCAATAAAATCAGAATATGCTCTTTTGTCTGGCTGGTTTTGAAGGGCTCTCTGCCCAAGCCTCATCATGCAACTAATTCAGATGTAACCCCACTTTAAACCGCACAGACAATGGCTATTGAGATGAGCTGGGTGGTGATAGGACTGTCGAGAGTCAGACTCTAGATGAAATGAACACACACAGACACATACACATAAATACACGTGTAGCCACACAAAGCATAAATACATACAGTAAAAAGGACGCAGCAATATCAGTCTGATTTTTGTGCCTATTTTGACACACATGCACACTTAACTCTTACTCTTGCTTTTTTACATTAGCCTCCCATTTCAAAATGTAAATAGACCTTTAAGTGAATAATTTAGGTAATTTAAGTCTGAAGTGCCTCACTATAAATCTCAGGGCATCATTTGAGAAACTTTAGTTTGCTGTGTTGACTTATTTCCTAAAATTACCAAAATAAAACAGTATGTTTTTTTCTTTCAATGTAAAGTGTCCTGCTAATGCAAACCGATGAAGACTGCACATAAAGAGGGAAATGTCTGATTTGGCAAAAGGTAAAAAGTGTGTCATTCAGTGGTAGATAATTCCCCCTACTTCTCCCAGTTTTACGGTGGCCACATAAAAAAATCACATTGCTTCAATAGATAATGAATGGTTTGCATCATATTAACATAGTAAGAAATTATTCAGTGATTCCATCACCGGCTCTGTGGTTCTGCTTGTGGCTCACAAACATATGAGGTACTTGTGTAATCTTAATCCTAAAACCACTGGCAAAACATTTGGTGAAAGAACAGTGGCTTCAGTATCAAGCATATCATATTGATTCAGTTAATTGTGTCATTCACCTGTCTGCTCTCCTGCAGTTGACTTTGTCTCCACCTCTCCCTTCTCCTCTGCCTCCTCCTCAGACACTTAATCCTGTTCTTCTCTCTTTTACTCATCATCCTCTCCCCAAAAGGAACACAAGGCGGCACCACTGCTGAGGTCATGGTTTGACTCATCACCTCCATCACACCACTGCCTCCTTCCTCACCATCTTCCACATCCTCCTCTTCTTCCTCATCCTCCACCTCCCCTTCTTCTTCTCCTAGCTCCGAGCTGGTGAGAGACGGGATGTGTGTCTGAGCAGGATGGCTTTGCGATGATCGTCCAGTTGCTGCCGCTGTTGTCACATCCACCCAGAACGGATCTGGCTCTCTGGATAAACTGAAAGAGTAGCGGTGTAGGTCTCCTGTAGCTGTCTTGGATGAGAGTCTTTGAGGTGATCTGGTTTGGATGGGAGGCTGTGGGAGAGCAGAAGACATGGACCTCATCGCTGGCCAGGGAGATTGGGGGTTTAAATTGGCAGCGATGGTCCGGGTGCAGCCAATACTGTGATGAGGACACGGTTGTCCTCTCTCCAAGTTGTTTGATCCTTCTCCAACTTCCAAAGTGCTGTTTAACTGGATGTCAGAATTACTGCTAGACAAACTTTCAGGGCTTCCTCTTCTCTTTCTGTCCTGGGCTCCATCTCTATGTGTCTCAGTTCTTCCAGTTTTCCTTGAACTTTGTTTTCTTCTTTCCTTGCCTCCAACATGCTCAACATTCTGTCTCTCCTCATCCCTGTCTTGGTTTACCTCTCTCCATCTTCCTCTGTTGTCCTTGCTGCAGGTCTTCTTGTGTGCTTTCCTCCCTGGAAGGGCAGGTCTCACCAGTTGGTCTACAGTGCTCGACCTTCCCTCTCCAGCTGGATCTGCACTCCTCAGCCTCGGTCTCGCTGCCTTTAAACACTGGTTGAAAGTTTCAGTGCTACAGTTGTCTTCGCTGACTTCCTCAGTTCCACGTTCTCCAAATCTGCCTGAGCCATCAAACCCAGAAGCTCCCACATGGGAGCTCATGATGGCGTTTTCAGGCCCCTCAGTCACCCGCAGAGCGCATCTGATGCAGCTTCAGCTAGCCTGGTCTTTCCCCTGTCATCTTTCCCTAAGTCTTCTCTCTGCCTCCCACTCCTTCTGGATGTAGAGGTTCAAGCTCTTTTTCTAAGAGCTAGAGGGACTGTTCCAGTGTAGAGGAGGTGAGCAGTGCAGCCCCCTGGCCTAGCCTGTCCTGCCCCTGTTAGCCCCCTGGGACATTCCACACTGTTGACAAAGACAAAGTCCCCCTGGTGAGCCCCATTACAATAGGTGCTCTGTTCATGGCCTCACTATTGTCCTGTGTGACCTATAGAAAACACTGCTATGCAACCACTGAATACACAAAAATAAGGTGAAAAAACCAGAGCCACCTTTTTTTTCTCACATCCACTACCATAGCGTCAGCTTTTTTTCACTCTGGGGTTTATAAGCAAAGCACAGAGTGGTTGTGTGTGTGTGTGTGTGTGTGTGTGTGTGTGTGTGTGTGTAGTTTTCATGATTATTCCTCAGACTTTTCCTTTATTTGATCTGATTATTAATTTCTGCTGGTGCATCGTTGTCAAAGACTTCCAGTCTACTTGCTCCTAAGAAACTTTGGGATCCAAATAAAATCTATACATGTCAGGATAACCTGTTCAATGGTGCTTTGTTCCAAAAGGCTGCTTCATTGTTTTCAAACAGAGAATGTAGGAAGAAGGGACAGATGATTCTTCATCAGAGGAAAAGAGAACAGCTTCAGAAAATATGAAATCCAAGATTGTTACGGGCTATGTTAGGTTGGGTTACGTTAAACTGGGTTAGATTAGTTTAGCTTAGCTCTGTTTATCTAAGCTTAGCTTATTTGGAGTTTTTAAAGACAATTATAATTACAGAGTACATGTTTATGAATTAATACTGAGTATAGTTTATGTTAAGTAAATGGTTTCAGCACTCTTCTAGCACAGCTTACAGTTTTCCAATGTTTATATTTCTCCCTGGATTTTTGATTCAAGTAACATCAATGAAGAAGGAGGGAACATGGACGAAATCTCTGGATCACCTTCTTTCCTCATAAACGCAATTATCCCTGTTCCCTCAGGAAACAAAACTGATGCAGAGTTTGAGCTGATGCAATGTGATGACATTCTAGACAATGAGGAGCTCACCTGCCTTTGCACCCCTACAATCAGCCAGGATGCCCTTTCAATGTATCCCTCTTCTTGGTGTTCCTGTTCAGACTCAGAGACCTCAGAGGTGATCACACCACTTAATCAAAAGATTGATGAGGACATTAACATATGCCAAAGCTACTTGCATACAGACAACTTGGAGACAAAGCAGATGATTTTGGAGAAAAAGAGGAAGTCTGGATTGCGGAGACAGGAACAACCTCCAGACTTTCCACCAGGTTAGACGAGAGCGCAAGACCTGCCTCCAGGGCATCTTCTTCTGCTTCTTCCACCACGGTAGCAAAAATGTTCGTCTCCCGGGTGATTGATTTGTCTGTCAAGACACTGCAGTCCACTGTGGCTGTCAGTGGCCATACAAGCCTCTCTGGATGGAGGATCCTACAGTGTCACTGCTGCTACCAAAAGACAGGGAAGCCAAGAAGACTTTGGCCAATAAAATCCTTCCTCACAGAACAACACACTGCAATAAAGAGGGGGATTCAGACTGAAAAAGGTCTAAATGACAGTAAAAAGATGAGACACCAGTGGGAGGATGTAAAGAAAGGAGCAAGAATCGTTGAAGAAGTGTTTCAGTGGATGGCAAGGAAAAAGATTCATCTAGCTCCACTCACAGATTTGGATGAGGCCGTCAGGTCAGGTAGCATTGACTTGACATTGAGCACTGGAGAGAGCAAACCAGGCTCTTCTTGTTCTCAAGAGACGTCCTCCACCGCCTCCTCTACTGCCGCTGTAGGAGCAGACCTGAGGTCCACTCGGCTAGAGTTGGCGAACTGCACTGAGAAAGAGGACAAGACACCAGAAGACATCAAAATTGATGTTCCATCTCTGTCTTCCACCAGCTCGTTTCCAGAAGATGATCAGGTCACTTGGTTCATATGCGTAAGCCCATGGCTGAAGCCACAGCCACAAGTCTGATATTTTAACATTTTAATTTGTCAGACAATTATTGCCAATTTTATGCATCAAAATGTTTGTCAAAGCTGCAGATAATCAGTTTGAACCTCTTTCAAAATACTGTATGTATACTGAATATTGTAAAATGTATATTATCTGTCAACATCATAATAAGGTTTGACTGTAAAACAATTATTTACAACAGGATTACTAGCAAAACTTTTAATTTTTCCATACATGTTACGTGGAACTGGTTTTCAATAACCAGAACCTCATGAATACAGTACAAGTTCTGGTGCAAAAACAGACATTTTCCAAGTGAGCCTCTGTGCTGTCTATAAAACAACATGAGATAGACCAGGAGATGTCACACTGGAAATGCACTTATGTCGTCAGTAATACTATTATTGCAATAATTCTAAAAGTGTGGATCAGAAAAGTTTTATTAGTCGTGGTTTGACTTCACACACACATAAATCAAGTGAACTTACATAAAGCAGCAACACACACACATTGGTGGAGCAGAACGGGCTTCGGTATAACGACAAAGCTAACGGTATCTGAGCCAACATTAGATGTTGAGGACACCAAAGCAAAGAAGTGTTACCGCTTCTTCTGCATGCATTTACACGGAAATTCCAATCAGTGAAACCAATTTAAAAGTATACAAGTTCTGTCAGGTGGAACAGAGACGCTTTAAATGATTCATGAGGAGCCCCCCTTGTTCTCTCTCCTTCTTAACCCACACCCTCACCCTATTATTTCTCCCCTTTGCTTCCCCCTTCCCCATTTTCCCACCCTTTTTCTCCTTGACCAAGGCACTGGCTGAGATCTGGAGTTGGTCCATGGATGCTGCACGGTGGAAGCCAATTCCTCATTGCAATGAATTAATTATAATTACACACACCAAGACAAAATCTAGTTCTGCCCTCAGATAAAACACAGCTTGCAAGATTTAGACATTTCTGAAAATGCCAAGCAGCTATTGTTTCTGGCAACCTGGTTGAAGGTACAGAAGAATTTGAGGTATTGTGAGGGACCAAGCCGGCAGACATGAAGAGTCAAAGGTGAATAAAAAAAATGCAACAATCAATTTACAAAATATACAATAAAGTTCTTGGCCTGCAAAAGAGGTCGATAAACAGAACTTAACTCTACATTAACTTAACATGAACTGAACAGACTAAACTGACCTTACAAACTGAGACATGAGACATGGGGGAAACTTATATAGTTGCTGATCAGGCCATTCTGACACACAGGGGGACTGACTAATAACATTTAAACAACCTACAATGCCACAAAACATGTCAAGGTAAAGCAACCCAATATTAACTAAGGAAAAATAATCTAAGTGTAATATCAAAAGCATAATTGTCAAAGAAGTCAGTTAGGATTCTTTCATTCATTATCTGCAGAGGTCCCATCCTCTCCAAAAGAAATGGATCAAGTGATTAAAACAAGTAAAAACACTGAATAAAGCAGTTTCATCTTAAAACTCAGTGTTTTCTGGAGTGTATCGTAAAAATGTGGCTTAAGACTGGATAAAAAGTCAATTTATGACGGCTTCTGGCAGACAACCACAAGACTGACGCATTTGCAAAGGTGACAGGACAGATTTCTTTGGATTTCGAACATTTATGGAAACATTTGGGATAATGTTAATACATAACCTAATAAAATATGTAACGTAAGTATAGTGTTCATAGACATTTTAATTAAGAAATGTTAAATATTATATCATCATCAGTCATTTTCATGCTACACTGACTTGTAATAGGGTGAATGGTGCCATTCCCACTCTGCAGTCTGTATGCCTGTTCTTGCACTATAACTTTGGTCTCCTGGGTCAGGACAAGTGCGTAACGCTTTACGGCAATAAGTCACACACCACCAGTCACTGATTTTGATGAAAGTTAAAAATTGATGAAATAATTTATGATTTTCACTCTGATGTCCTCCGGCTGCTCTGCCTCAACACTCAGTGATTCACAGAGTTTGCTGATGGACAGTAGCTGTGCCAGGACTGAGCTGGGTGCAGTAGTTTGTATGGAAAAGGAGAGAAGCCGCTGGACAAGATTAATTCTCAGACTGGCTTGTAGTGTTGGCGAGAGCTTTGTGAAATGAGAGAATGCAAGACAGATGCCGAGCTGGCCTTCTAGCTGTTAGACTAGTAATATTGGTTGGTTATATGTCTTTTGTTGCACTTGCTTGATATTTGACTGTGTTAGAAAAGTTGTCGACTGTTGTGTCGTTTTGCTGCTTTATGCAAGTTCACAATAGAGCTATGTGTGAGAAAGAAATGGTCAAACAGCAGGAATTCATTTTTTTTGCAACATTGTGCAACTTTGATTAGCACCCAGCAGCTGTAGTGGCTTGCTAGGCAGTGTGTGTGAGGTCAAACACAACCAATAATGCCTTTCTGATTCACACATTTAGCGTTACTGCAATACTACTATTACTGACAATATTAGTACAGTTGTGTAACATCTCATGTACTTACATCGTCATCGCATTGTATTAAAAACACAGACTTGGAAATGTCTCTTTTTGCACTGGAAACTAATGTATATAGGAGCTTGTTGTATGTCACAACATAAGTTAAAGTCGCAGTAAAGGTCCTGTGTAATCAGTTTCTTATAATATAATAATTTGTTATCATTATAGCACTGTGTGCAGCTGTTGCCATAATTACACAATTGAGATGAAGTTGGTAACCTCTGTTTCCTGCATACAGGACAACAAATCATACAATTAGCTGCAACATGCGACACACCAGAGACATTGCTGGACTACTTTGAGCTACAATGAGCTGTTGCAGCATTTAATAGTTAGTTGTACTTATACTGTATTATATTATAGTGTCTTACAAGTAACACTGAATCTACCATGTTTTATAGATCATCTGAGTGACCTGATGAAGCTCAGGTGTCCCTGGACCGATCAGAGGAGGAAGTTATTGCCTGTCAGTCTAGTGACAGCCTGAAGACAACACAGCGGCCAGCAGCATAAGGAAAGTCTAGGTATCCACAAGAGGATGCGTCAAAATAAACACTGTGACCGCAGTGCTCCATTACTAGCTGACACATAAGTATACAAGAAACCCTTTGAAAAAGAAACCGTTTGTTCGCATCATAAACACAATTTATATTTACATGTCACTGGAATATGAATAAAACATATGAATAAAGTGTTTCATTTTCAAGGAGAGTTTTGGTCATTTTCAAATTCAGTAGTCAATGTGGTTTTAGATAAATAAAATAATATTTACAGAGGTTTTATCAAAAACGTATTCGATTTCCTGCATGTAGAAGGGTTGAAAACATGGTTCATTTAACATGTATTAATATGAAAATGCGAAAGAGTTTTGCTAGTAATCCTACAATAAATAATGACTGCAAGCAACACAACACTTTTCTGTTTAACAGTCAAACTTCATTATGACCTTGACAGATCATATAAATTATACAATATTCTGTATGTATGCAGCATAATACACATCTTTTAGAAAAGGTTTCAAACAGATCATTGGCAGCTTTGACATTTTGAGGCATAAATTTGGCAATAATTGTCTGACAAATAAAAACGTTAAAAGATCAGACTAACTATGAAATATGGATACAGTACAGTCCACACTAAATAGGCAAGTTACTTAATTAGATTAGTAATTAATTCAGTAATGCCGACATGTTGTACAGGATAAAGTATTCCAGGTAGGTTTCTGCCTCATTATGGGTTAGTTTCCCTGCTCTCACAAGATTAATGTGTACAAAGACATTAGATGGGAGGCTACAGTAATCATTATACTATTACTGTGACTACTTTAGCATGTTTATTTGCTGTTTCTTCACTAGAAATAATTACTTGACTGACGTTTCACATCGTCTGTTTCATATCGTACTTTCCATCCCCACATCCTGGTAATTAGTGTAAGTGTTTACATTACGTACTATGCTACATACAAATGCTAACATGTTACCTCTTTAACTCTTCACAGTAAGAAGTAAGAGAGAAGTAAAATCATTTTTAATTCCCTCAGCTGTGTAGACATATATGCATAATATGTCTCGTTCGCCTGTATGGTGTAGAAAGAAATTAGAAACACTTGAAATCATGTATAGTTGATTTAAATTGTGTAAGTGCCACATAATAATTTTTGAATGTTAACAAAATTCAAAATCATAAGAGTAAAAAAAAAAAGAATATGGGAACATTAAATCAGATGTACCTTCTAATCTCTTCTAAGATGCACACAAAGTTACAAAACAACCCATTGAAGTCTCAAAGCCTGTTTGACATGTCTGAGTAGTTGGAATAAAACTGAACATCATGAAATACCACAAATTATTTTGTCTGTCAATTTACGTTTCAGATTTTCGCAAGAAACGACTGGCTGCCAAAACCCCAACAGCACTCAATATGATCTCAATATGATACAGTCAGCTGCAGCAGAAGTTGACTTTAACCAGCAGTACCTTACCAGTTTTGAAAAGGCCCTGGGTATTGATGCACTAATTGCGGTTATAACTGCATCAAATATTATAAAAAGATTTAATATTTTGATATATAGCAGTTGGATTGCAGGATGGGAAATAGGATGAATCGTCACCCCATTTCGAGAGGCTGTGCATATTTACGCAAGAGACACAGCAGCATCTTCATTGATTATTTAAACCTCCCAAAACACTGACAGTTGATTGTTCAGGATCTAATGTTAATGTTCTATGTTCTTCTACACATCCAAAAGGTCACACACACTGTCCAGGTTCACACATGAGAAATTCTGCCATCCTCCTCGTAAATCCTGGGCTCCCGCAAATCTGTCTAGAAACAAATTTCAGCACAGATTAAAAACCCACAGGTCTGTGAACAAACACACTTAGAAGCAGTTAATAAGAAAAGTGACCTTAGGTTAGCCTAACACTAACATTATTGCAAAGCTTGTGAAAAGTAATCTGATATTGTGATTTGAGCTGGCTAACGTTAGCATGTTTGCTGACGCAGACAAATTGCCAACATGGCTTAGTTGCAGCTGGCAGGCTGACCTTAGCTTGCTTGCTCATTGTATAACAGTAATGATAGCCAATTATAAATGCAAAGCAAAAAAATGGTCCAAAGCCCCACAGCACCCCTCCAGAGTATACTACACTTTTTTATGGCCAATATGGCCGTTAATATTCCAGAATTCCAGCCATTTACAACAACTACCCGACATTTTAGATGACGAGGCACCTCAACAAACACCAGCCAGGATGCCCTTTTAATGTATTCCTCTTCTTGGTGTTCCCATTCTCACTCAAAAGTCTCAGAAGTGATCACACCATTTCTATTTCATCACCTTCTTCCTGCATCAACGCAGCCATTGCCACAGTAGCAAAAATGCTTGTCTCCCAGGTGGTTGATGAGGCTGTCAAGACACTGCAGTCCACTGAGGCTTTAAGTAACATTAAGGACAACGATACTCCTCTCCAGTCAGATCAGAGTTCAAGTCATCTGGGGCTGGTTGAAGTGGAACTGGATGTCAGACCAGAGGAGACTAACAAACTCATCAAGTGGAAGAGATCCCTCGGTCACAGAGCCAACCAAATTTCCAGGAGGAGGTGAGAAGCTCCCAGAGTCATCTGTCCAGAGACTTTTGTGATGGAATGCTAAAGGATTTTCCTCCAGTATCCTCAGAAGATGAAAGACATCTTGCATTGTCGCAGGAGGATGAAGAAGCAGCAGCAGACTGGCAAGTCACTGATGAGGGCAACTCTGTTCTATAATTGGCCAGACAAGTCACTCTGGATGGAGGATCCTACAGCGTCACTGCTGCTGCCAGCTGCCTGGAGTCAAAGGACAGGGACACTAAGAAGGCACAGGTAGGAGGATTTAAAGAAAATAGCAAGTTCAAGCACCTTGTTAAAGAGGTGTTTCAGTGGATGGTGGAGGAAAAAGATTCCTCCATCTCCACTCGCAGTTTCGGATGAGGCCGTCAAGTCATCCAGTGTTGATTCAACATTGACCACTGGAGAGAGCACACCAGGCTCTTCTTGTTCTCAAGAGACATCATCCAATACCTCCTCTAGTGCTGTAGGAACAGACCTGAGGTCCACTCAGCTAGAGTTGGTGGACTGCACAGACAATCAGGATGAGACATCAGTCAAAGTGTTTAATCTGAGCCTGACTCTGAGTGTCTTAGCAAAAACCAAGCTGATGTTGAGGACAACAAAGCAAAGAAGAGCAACCACTTTCTCTGCTTCTTCTGCAACATCTTTTAAAAGTATATGGGAATAGATTAGACCAGATCTGACCAGATAAGGTTTCAGATGTTATAAAGGATTTGTGATGAGTTGTCTCAGTCTTAAGTCAAAGGCAGCCAGGTTGTTGTTCTTGAAGATGTCTTATCCCTCACCCTTTCCTTGACTTTCTTTGACTAATCTGAACCAGAATCCTTGTATTTCCAATTGAGGCTTCATGAGTTGTAAAGTGATTAAGCTTTTTCTGTAACATACACAAGTCCAGTTGTTTTTGACTTGAAGATGTCTTCTACTTATTTATTTATTTTACTGTAAATGTTTGCATTTCTGATGTGTTGTTTTTTAATAACCTCCTCAGAAGAATGAGAAGATGATGAAGAAAGCTTCAGTGGCTGTTGAGCTGCAGTCATTGCAGTTGTTGCTGTGATGTCTAAGGACCAGGATTATGACCAGCTCTAACCTATGGCCTGATAATCTTTCTTTCCCCTAACTCCCCTTTTCTCCCACATTTTCTTCCCCATTGTCTTTTTTAAAGGCTTTAAATGTAACTACTGGTAAAAATTAACTTTATGATATACACTGTTTTTGCAGTGTTATGTCTGTCTGCTTCTCCAAATGATTTCTTGAACTTTGATAGTTCCAGTTGTTTGTTGGATATTATGGCGAGGGTAAGAATGAACATTCTCTGTCACTGACAAATTTTTATTTTTTTCCTTAAGATACTATTAAATAAACAGCCAGACAAAGCTCAACAGTGCCTTAAAACAGACAAAACACAGTCTGAAACATTTAGAAAGTTTTTTGCAAGCAGCTGTTGTTTCAGGCTACTATGAAGAAGAAGCAGAAGCGTCTTTGGGATTCTGGCTGTCAGAATTGCTGTGTTGTTAAATGACCTTCTGGGTTTTAACAAAGATTACCAGAGGATATATTTTTCAGAAAATCAGATGCTTAGCACTGTGACTTGAATGTAATGCTAATAGATAAGACTTCCTCAATAAAGCAGTGAGTATTAGCTAGGTCTCAGCAACAAGGTAGCTTGTAAAAATGTTTTTTTGGTGTAAAAAAGGCTGACCGGGTCATCCATCATTATATAAAGTCTATACTTTATAGTTTATGGACAGAATACTTCTTCCAATTGTTGTTCTACCAATACTGACTTATATGTTTATAGTCTCCAGCAACAACTTATCTGCAGACTATGCACATCAGAATTTAAAATAATCTTAAGGTTAATTTCCACTTGCAATTTATAATATGGTTCTTTCCCATTCAATTTTTATCCTTCAAACTCCAACCTAAAATAACAGAAACCCCTGGCTCCCTCCACCCTGCAAGGGAGCATCTGTTCTCCTTCACCAGCTGCTTTTATTCCAGCCTGTTTTCTGATTCACTGCTCACATTATTAGTTGGCAAATGCAACTATTGTTTTCCATGGAATCCCCCCCTCTCTCCTCCACACATACATACAAACACACACACACACACACACACACACACACACACACACACACACACACACACACACACACACACACACACACACACACACAGTTTCCCTTTCATCTCTTCAACCATCTCCCTCGGCAGCTCAACCCCTCCCTGTTTCCTCATCCCTCCTACAGCATCTTACTCTGCCTTAAACTCAAAGTGCACTGCTGATGGAAGTGGCCATCACTTGATGCAGTACCCGCTGTGGACAGCAGATGGCAGCAGCTCTCCTCTCTGGACTGCCGTGGCGCTGTCCCTGGTCCTGAAACTACCTCTCGTTCTCAACGCAATGGGCTTCTCTCCGTCCCGGTTAGAAATGCATGGTTGGTCCGTAAACACTCAGTCTCAACTTTTTCTCTAAGTTTCTATTTAACATGTTTTTACTCATTAATAAAGTAC